CAGTTCTGGAGTTGCAGGTTGCTGTGAACTGCCTGACATGGGTTCTGGGAATGGAACTCGGGCCCTTCCATTATATATATATATGTATATGTGTGTGTCTGTGTGCGTGTGTGTGTGTGTATCAGTTGCTTACAAGGTCAGGACTGTGTGATATGTGACTTAATAAGACCAGGATCTAATAGATTTACTCAGGTTATTTGTGTTATGTGTATTGAGTCATCTCTTCCAGATCATCCCATTGATTATTGTGTTAAATTTTTGGGTTTCAGGCAGAAATGACAGAGAATGATATCTTTAAGGTAGTTGTCCTAACTTGATCTTTGTTAGTCTGTTTTTTATTGCTTTGACAAAGTACCCAAAGCTGTGTACTTATAAAGAAAAGTTTATTGGGGCTGGAGAGATGGCTTAGTGGATAAGAGCACTGGCTGCTATTCCAGAGTACCTGAGTTTGGTTCCTGTGTTTAGCATTCACATGGAGGCTAACAACTTTCTATTTAACTCCAGTTCCAGGGGCTCTGATGCCCTCTTCTAGACTCCACAGGCATTGCATGCATGCACATAGTGCACTTACGTACATGCAGGCAAAATACTCATATACCTAAATAAGAAAGGGAAGTTTATTTAGTTCACAGTTTGGAGGGTCAAGCATGGTGCTAGAATCTGTTCCACTCTGGTGAGACAGATGGTAGGAGCACATGTAGAAGAGATTGTTGGTAAGACTTGGGAAGAGACCAGGGTTGGCTCTACTTTTTCCCTTTGTTTTTCATAAGCAGTCTTGTGAAAACTAATGCACCCTTACCAGACCTGACCCTAGCATTCTGCAAGCCAGCATTAATCTGTTCATGAAAGTGGAGCGTCTACCTAATTTCCTTCTTCTGAGTCCCACTTCTTTAAGGTTCTACCACCTCAACATTACCGCACTGGGGACCTAGCCTCTAGAGCACATGACTCTCTGGACAACAAACCACGTTTAAGCCATAGTGCTATCCTAAGCAGACATGGAGGATCTGCTATATTGTACATTAGACCCCAGAACAATAGTCATCTTTGATTTTGTGTGTTGGTTTAAAATCCAACTTTAGACATAGGATTCCTTTCTCCCATGGAATGTCAGGTGACAAATGTGAGGTAGCATCTACTGAGTGCCCAGTTATTGGTAGAGACAAGAAACACTGAACATTTAGAGCATTGGTGTGATTGGGAAGGGTATCTTAGAGGTAGTAAAATGTAGAGTTAGCAGACAAATGAAGAGAGAAAAGTAGGGGAAAGTGGAGTTGTTGGAGAATAATAGCTTTAGAATAAAGAGATTAAATTATAAGAGTGGGTAGGGATACTTGAGTGCCTTAAGGCAAAGTAATCCAGTAAGGATGTGGTGAAAGCTACTCAGCAGGACTCAGTGATGGGAAACAGCTAGGAAGTTAAGGATGGACTGGCATTAGATGTTGGCTGGGGGAGCTATGAAAGAAAAAACCTATAGGGGAAGCTGGATTTTTTGTTTTGTTTTGTTTTTAAATGGACTTTTGAGATACTATTTATAGGCACATTGAGGTGGAAGAGACATTCTGTAGGAACAGTCAGTTGGAGAAATAGAGTACAGTTCTTCACCAAATTCAAGAAAAGTTTTAATGGGGCTGGAGAGATGGCTCAGAAGTGAAGAGCACTGGCTGCCCTTGCAGAGGACCAGGTTTGGTTCCCAGTACCCACATGGCGACTAACAACTGTCCGTAACTTCAGTTCCAGGGGATCTGACACTCCCTTCTGACCTCCGTGGGTACTATATTACACAGGTGCACTTATTTACATATATGTGGGCAAAACACTCAAGCACATACAATAAAATAACAAAATATTAGCCGGGTGTGGTGGCACACACCTTTAATCCCAGCACTCAGGAGGCAGAGGCAGGCGGATCTCTGTGAGTTCAAGGCCAGCCTGGTCTACATAGTGAGTTCCAGGACAGCTGGGGCTACAGGGAAACCCTGTCTCAAAAAGACCACCCCCCAAAAAAATTAAAAGTTTCAAGAACAATGGCATGGTTTGTACTATTTAATCCTCAAGTTTGAGGAGGATGAAGCCTGCAAAAAAGCTATTTGCATTGCTGTTATATATCTTTTCTGTAAAGTAATATCTTGACAGAGAAGGATTTGAGATCAGGATTTAAAGGAGGAAATGTTATTCTAGGAAGAGAATAACAAGAGGTAGAAGAGTTTAGATGAAGGTAGGGAGAAACCATGAGGTAGAATGCAGAAGATGAGGTATTTCTGGAAATGAACATTGATGTAAGAGGTATGCTTATCAGCTAAAAGTGAGAGAATAACTGGGAAAAACTGGAGAGTAGCTGTGTATACAGAGTATATAAAAAAGATGAATGGAAGTAGTGGCCACAATCAGCATGATCTCATGCATTTTATGACCAGCAGTACTTACTGGTTCTGATTCAGGGCTAAAGAAAGCACGTTTCTAGACAGTATATGAGTTTTTCTAGACAGTATTGAAATACTTGGCTATGGCTTAGAGAGGGACCAAAAAAAGCCAAGGGTAAACGTTATTAGTAAAGATGTAAAGGGAAATTATTAGAAAAGGTGGAGCTGGTCCAAGTAATATTGTAGATCTGTAATCTCTCTGAGAAGTGAAAGAGGGAGTAATGTGGATCATTCTAGGAACTGAGACCTGGGTTTGAGATGAATCTCTTGTGGGCTTTTTTACTTTGAGAAAAAGAATAGACAAGAAAAATGTGAACCAGGTGCCAAATTTTAGAGAATAGCTATTCATACAGCAAATTCCAATTTACAAAGGGCTTTTAACATCTTTTGAGTCATCCTTACAGCAATCCTGTGATGAAGCAGCTAAGGTACATATTTTATTCCATATTGTAAATTAGGGTAAAATTGAGGCATACCACAAGGTAGCTGACAAAAGACCATGTAGTACAGTCCACCCTCTGTATCCGTGGCCTCTGTACGAGCTACCATGTGCAAATCAATATTTGGAAGGTGGGTTTGGTGGCACAGCTTTTAATCCCATCATTTGAGAGGCAGAGTCAGGTGGATCTCTGAGATGGAAGCCAGCCTGGTTTATATAGCAAGTTCTAGGCCAGCTGGGACTACAAGGAGACCAAGAAGAAGGAAAAGGTTGGCCATAGTGACTCACCTGTTATTCCAGCACTTTGGAGGATGAGGCAGGAAAGTCATGAGTAGCCTGGGGACCCTGTCTTCAAAAAACAAAACAAACATTTGCAGAAAAAGCTATGACCATTTTGAGTGTGTGATAACTATTCCCCCTCACCCTACCCAGTGCTGGGGATTGAACACAATATACCTTGGCTACCTTATCTCTTTTCAATAGTGCTTCCTACTTATTCTGTATATCCCTCACTTGAATCTAAATTTTTAATCATAGGTCTTTCTTTCAGGATGCTGCAGAATAAACTGCAACACATGTTTACCAAAGGCTGACATGACAATCTTGCTTAAACTTTGACTTAGTCTGGAATATTAGTTTGAGATGGCAGAAATTTTTTAGAAGAATTTGATCAGACTTCGTCATCTTTTTTATGTCTTTTTGAGATAGGATCTCCCTGTAAACCAGGCTAGCCTGGAACTCACTCTGTAGACCAGGCTGGCCTCAAACTCAACAGAGATCCATCCACCTGCTTTTTCCTCTTGAGTGCTGACTACCATGCCTGGCTAAACTTAGTCTTTTAATGAAGGAATGTTAAGTGTGGCCAGGGCTTTTGCTATGCCATTACAATTGAATATCACAATTGTTAGCTAGTACTAAACACAATGCAGTTTAAGAAGTTTGTTGGGAAGAGAACTCTGCAAATCTAATCTCTTCCTAAGGTGAGGATAACTTCTCAAGTGAGTTAAGCTTTGAGAAGAGAAAATTTTGCTAAGAGGCTGCTGTTTTGGTTTTAAAAAATATTTATTTATTTATTTTATGTGTATGAGTGTATTGCCTGCATGTGTGTAAGTACACCCGTGTCATGCAATGCCCTTGGAGGTCAGAAGAGAGTGTCAGATTTCCCTGGAACTGCAGTTGCAGATGGTAGTTAGCTGCCATGTGGGTATCAAACCCGGGTCCTCTGCAAGAGCAACCAATCCTCTTAACCACTAAGCCATCTCTCTAGCTCCAGTTTTGGGATTTTTTGCTTTGTTTTAAATAATTGTGTTTAACTTAATAAATTCTAGTGCTTTTAGGATTCTCCTCTAACTCAGGTTTATAAGGCCCTTGGCTCTTTTGCTCTCTTCCATAACTTCTTTTTGAGACTAGGTCTCCATGTAGCCACAGCTGGCTTGGATCTCACAGAGATCTGCTTGCCTCTCTCTCCCAAGCACTGGGATTCAAGTTGTGCACCAACATACCCAGCTCTAACATTTTCTTAGTTTCACTGTTTATCCAGAGAATGGGTCTAGAAGCAGCTTTCTTTTTTAGTTATGGCTATTTATTTACTAAAAATGTATGTATCTGTGTGTGTGCCATGACAACACATGTGGAGGTCAGAGGTCAACATATGGGAGTTGGGTCTCTCCTTCCACCATGTGGGTCCAAGGAATGGAACTCAGGTTGTGAGGTTGGATAGCAAGTGTCTTTACCCTCTTATCCATCTTTTGGGCTCAGAAGTAACTTTAAAGCTCCTTTATTCTGATTCTCCCTATAGTCCCCACAAATCCAAAGGGCTAGTTCTAGATTTACTAAACAACTATAACCAAATATTCTCCCATCTAGTCTGAGATCTCCTAGGGAGGAGGCTGCTAGATTACTGAGATAATGATCTGATTCTGCTTTTCTCACTTCTTTTCCACCCCTTCCCTTCTTTGCCTCTCTAGCTTCCTCTCCTGTGTTCTTTTATCATCCTAACTTCCTTTCTCATATTTAGTCCTTGTTAGGCCAGCCAGAGAAGGGTTATGATACAAAGATGTGAGGGTACCATATGACCTGTAGTATAGGTTGGAGGAGTTGTTTGAACTTGAGGCATGCTGATTGTGTTCTTCTTCTAGGATGCTCACAACTGTATTCCAGAGCTGGACAATGAGACAGCCATGTTTTCTGTCTACGATGGACATGGAGGTAACTTTAGCAGATCATATTGGTAACATAATAACCCAATCCTAGACTTGGAGGGCAAGAAGTGATCCTTTGTTCTTTTACTTCCTAGGATTCTGGCCCAGAATAGAAGTTCCTACCTCTTTCTGCCATTCCTTTTCCTCCAATATAGTGGTTTATAATCTGTCTAGGCTTTGAATTCATTTAAAAATCCTCCAGTATTTCCTTTTTAAAAAATATTTATTATTTTTATTTTACGTGTATGAGTGTATTGCCTGCATGTGTGTACATGTACGTACTCATGTCATGCAATGCCTGCAGAGGTCAGATGAGGGTGTCACATTCTCTAGAACAGGAGTTACAGACAATTGTTAGCTGCCATGTTGGTGCTTGGAATTGAACCTGGCTCCTCTGTAAGAGCAATCTGTGCTCTTAACTGCTGAACCATCTCTCCAGCCCTCTCAGTATTTCCTTTTTTAAATATTTTATTTATTATTTTTATTTTATGTGTGTGTTTATTGCCTGTGTGTAGGTAAGTGCACTGGTGTCGTGTAATGCCCGCAGAGGACAGAAGAGGCTGTTGGATCCCCTGGAACTGGAGTGTTGGACAATTGTTAGCTGCCATGTGGGTGCTGGGATTCAAACCTGGGTCTTCTACAAGAACAACCAGTGTTCTTAACCACTGAGCCATCTCTCCAGCCCCAGTATTTCCTTTTTTAACTGAAGAACTAAGTATATAGATAAGAAAAAGTCATGGGGCTATATATATTAATATTCTCCCCAGAGAAGTGATATTGAAATCCATTTTCAGGGTCAGAACTTCCCATTGTCCTATAGATAGGTCTCAGGTGTGCTAAGATGTTTGTCCTCTCTGTCCTTGGAGTTTACCCCCAATTTGGCATATAAATTAATACCATTTTTTATGTGAGAGAAGTAGTGTTTTAGATGACTTAACCTTTCTTCTAGGGGAGGAAGTTGCCCTGTACTGTGCCAAATATCTTCCTGATATCATCAAAGATCAGAAGGCCTACAAGGAAGGCAAGCTACAGAAGGTCTGTCTTCCCACACTTAATTCTCTGCCTGGTGTGTTTTCCCTGTTTTCCAACCTTTGGCTTCTCTTTTATCTCTGTTCTCTAGCTTCTGCTTATCTATTGTATAACTTAACCTTCCTCCTAAGAGTCCTGTGCCCCAAACAGACTTCTTCACACTTGCCTTACTAGTCTCAGGTCTAAACCATTTTACCTGTTTGAGTATATTTCTTAGTGTGACTGACCTCACCTGAATTTGCATCCCAATCTTGTGCCTAGGGTTGAATGTAATAGACCATTGATATTGTACCCACTGTGCTTGTCTTATACTACTTTGCTTATATTCAGGCTTTAGAAGATGCCTTCTTGGCTATCGATGCCAAATTGACCACTGAGGAAGTCATTAAGGAGCTGGCACAGATTGCAGGGAGACCCACTGAAGATGAGGATGATAAAGAAAAAGTAGCAGATGAAGATGATGGTGAGTGTGGTATTCCATGTTACAGAAGAAATCAGCATTTTATTATCAGTTCCAAAAGATGATGGCTTCCTAAAGACCTGGGGGGGAATCCTTACAGTAAGACCCCTATATGCTGTGCTTCTGCACTACATGTGGTTATGAAAGAGAGAGAGAAAGAATTAACCTTTGCCCAGTGCATAGCTGTAAGCATTTTTACATATATTTTGTCATTCTTACGGGGTTTTTCTGGTTGCTGTAATTTTGTACATCCTGACCTTTTCTTCAAGACTGGAGCAGTCTTTATTAGCCTTAATAGGTAGATATTAAAACTTAACCTTCCTCCTAAGCTAGCATGTGGGCTTTCTGGGTCTTCAGTCAGAATAAAGGTTTCAACTTAACAGTACCAAATAAGAGGTACAGTGGGGAAATGTAGTAACTAGTGATCCTCAGACTAAGAAGAGGGTGAAAGACAAAGACCAAAAATGTCTATTTAGGAGAAGAAAACTAGGGGCTGTTCTTTCCAGACTTATCGTGAATAGAGTTTTACTGGGAGGTTATGGGAAAGTTGAACCTCAGACTACAAGGGACATTGAGCTAGTAAGCGGGACTGATCTATGAGGAGTTTGGCATGGGGGTGCTGATATAGCCTCTTTCCTACAGTGGACAATGAGGAGGCTGCATTACTGCATGAAGAGGCTACCATGACTATTGAAGAGCTGCTGACACGCTACGGGCAGAACTGTCAAAAGGGCTCTCCCCACAGCAAATCTGGAGCTGGGACAGGCGAGGAACCAGGGTCCCAGGGCCTCAATGGGGAGGCTGGACCTGAGGACCCATCTAGGGAAACTCCTTCCCAGGAAAATGGCCCCACAACCAAGGCCCACACAGGCTTTTCCTCTAACTCAGAACATGGGACTGAGGCAGGACAAATTGGTGAGCCTGGTACTCCTACTGGTGAGGCTGGGCCTTCCTGCTCTTCAGCCTCCGACAAGCTGCCTCGAGTTGCTAAGTCCAAGTTCTTTGAGGACAGTGAGGATGAGTCAGATGAGGCGGAGGAGGAAGAGGATGACAGTGAGGTAAGGGCCTGTGAGGGCAGGCAGATGCTGAAGTTGCAGTAAGGGCCTCTTTGGTTGCCATCCATAGCTTTCAACTCGCTTCCTTCTGTTTTATTTTTTTTTATTATTTATTTATTAATTTATTCATTGTGTGTGTGCATGCGCGCGCGTGTGTGTGTGCGTGTGTGTGTGTGTGTGTGTGTGAGAGAGAGAGAGAGAGAGAGAGAGAGAGAGAGAGTAAATTGTACCATGGCTTGCGAGTCAATTCTTTCCTTCTATTATGTGGTCCCTAGGGATCGAATTTAGGTCATTAGTCTTGGCAGCAAACACCTTTACCCTCTGAGCCATCTCACTGTCCCCTCTTCCTTCTATTTTGACATTATTCTTTAAGACTCGCTGTATTCTAAGCTTTAACCTTTTGAATGCATTATCATCACAGGTACCTTGGCTCAGTGGTTAAGAGCACTGACTGCTCTTCAGAGGACCTGGGTTCGATTCCGAGCACCGACATGGCAGCTACGAACTGTCCTTAACTCCAATTCCAGGGGAATCCGAAGCCTGCTTCTGACCTCTGCGGCATTGCACGACAGGGGTACACTCACATACATACAGGCAATACGCTTGTACACAGAAAATAAAAATAATAAAGTATTTTTTAAAATATTTTATTTCATGTGTATGAGTATATTACCTGTGTGTGTGTGTGTGTGTGTGTGTGTGTGTGTGTGTGTGTGTGTGTCTTGCAATGCCTGCAGAGATCAGAAGAGGGCATTGGATCCCCTGGAACTGGAATTATAGATGGTTGTTAGCCACCTTGTGGGTGCTGGAAATCAAACCCATGCCCTCTGCAAGAGCAGGCGGTACTCTTAACCGCTGAGCCATCTTTCCAGCAACCCGCCCCCTTTCTCTTTTAAAGACGGTCTCCCTGTAGCTCCAGCTGGCCCAGAATTTGCTGTATAGATTAGGCTGACCTTGGATTTCTTTGCTTGTCTCTGCCTCCCAAGTATTGGGATTAAAGGCTTTCATCACCATGCCCAACAACTTTTTTTTTTTCCATTCCTTAAAAAAAATTTTTTTTGTGAGCATCATACATGTGAATAATCTTCACACCATTTCCATTCCTCCCAATCCCCTTCCAACTCCTCTCATGTCACCCCCACTCCCTCTCAGTTTCCTGTCCCTCTCCTAATTATTGTTACATGTACATGCATTCATTTACACACACACAGAGTCCATTCAGTGGTGCTCCATGTACCTGTGTTTAGGACCACTTGAAATTAGATAATCTCTCAGGGAGCTAATCTCAGGAGAAACATGATTCTCCCTCCCACAGCATCCATTGATGCCGTTCATCATCTTGAAATGGGACCCAACTTTTTTTTTTTTTCTTGGTATTTTTTTGAGACAGGGTCTCCTTGTAGGCCCAGCTGGCCTGGAACTCACTATGTAGACCAGGCTGGCCTTGAACTCACACAGATCCATCTGCTGCTGCCTCCCGAGTGTTGGGATTAAAGGCATGCACCACTATTCCCTGTTAAAATTCTTTTTGCGATTTAGTACTGTGTGTGTGTGTGTGTGCATGTGCATGCGCACACACACCATAACTGCTGAATCATCTCTCCAACCCCCATTTTAAAGATTTTGTCTGACAGTCAAAGGGATGTTAGGTCAGACACAGACACAGAGGTAGCCAATGAAGGTCTTTTTTTTTTTCGGTCTTTTTGAGACAGGGTCTCCCTGTAGCTCAAGCTGCCTGGAACTCACTCTGTAGACCAGGCTGGCCTCGAACTCACAGAGGATCCACCTGCCTCTGCCTCTCAAGTGCTGGGATTAAAGGCATGCACCACCACACCCGGCTAGGACTTTCTTTTTAAAAAAATATTTATTATTTTTGTTTTATGTGTATGAGCCTGCATGTATGTGAGTGCACCTTTGTCGTGCAATGCTGTGGAGGTCAGGAGAGAGCTTCGGATTCCCCTGGAACTGGAGTTAAGGATGGTTCATAGCTGCCATGTGGGTGCTGGGAATTGAACCCGGGTCCTCTGCTAGAGCAGTCAGTGCTCTTGACCACTGAGCCATCTCTCCAGCCCTGAGGATACCTTTTGAGAGTCAGTTCTCTTCACGAAATGGGTTCTGGGGATTGAACTCTGTCATCAGGCTTTACCAGCTGAGCCACATCACTGATACAATGGAGTGACTCAGTTTAGGCTTTTCAGAATCTATCTCTTAAGAACAAGAGGGTAGTTATTACTTTGACTATTTGGGTATCTCTTTCTTTGGACAATTTGTTTTCTGGAAGGTAATTTTGATTGCCTGCTTCCCCGGGGCTTCTTTGCTGAACCCAATTCAGGTTGTTGATTGTGTTCATCTTAGTCCTCTCCTCTGCCCCATATTTTCTTGATCATATTGGTTATATCTTTCCCTGTTTTCAGGATCTGTATTTTGAGGATTAATTGGGGGAAGGTGGGCAAGTGGGGATTCATCCCAATATCAGCAGCTTGGGATCCTCCTGGCAGGAATGCAGTGAGGAAGAGGATGGCTACAGCAGTGAGGAGGCAGAGAATGAGGAGGACGAAGATGACACCGAGGAGGCTGAAGAGGATGAAGATGAGGAAGAGATGATGGTGCCTGGAATGGAAGGCAAAGAGGAGGTATGTGGGGAAAGGGACCATTGAGTCTAGAAAAAAGAAGAGGCAAGTGTTAATCTCCTGATTTTGATTTTAAGACAGGAGATCTCCTTGATATTTTAGTATTGAAGTCATTCATGGTCAGGAGAATTAATTCTGTAAGGGGAACGCACAAGAAATCTGGATAGAATTGCTAAAAGAGAGCAAAGGAGGAAGCCGGTGTCTCTGGAGAGGCGAAATCTGCACCTCTCATGTGGTAAAGCTCTCTAGTATAGATGATTGGTGAGGAGTATACCACTTACGCTTAGAAGCTTCCACAAGGCTCCCTTTCTTCCTCTTAAGCCTGGCTCTGACAGTGGCACAACAGCGGTGGTTGCTCTGATACGAGGGAAGCAGTTGATTGTGGCCAATGCAGGAGACTCTCGCTGTGTGGTATCTGAGGCTGGCAAAGCTTTAGACATGTCCTATGACCACAAACCAGAGGATGAAGTGGAGCTAGCACGCATCAAGAATGCTGGTGGCAAGGTTACCATGGATGGACGAGTCAATGGAGGCCTCAACCTCTCTAGGGCCATTGGTAAGGCCAGGAAACTATGGGGAAGTGTTGGGGATTTGCCCTGTGTTCCAGATTACCTAGTAGCAAACTTTGGTGTTTTGTTATTGTTGTTGTTTTGAGATAGGGTCTCCTTGTAGCCTCAGCTGGCCTGGAACTCCTTATGTAGACCTATCTCACAGAGGTCAGCCTGCAGGTTACTGGGATTAAAGGCATGTGCCACCATGCCCAGCCTGTTTGGGTGTTTTTGAGACAGGATTTCACTGTGTAGCTCTGGCTGACCTGTTATGTAGACTAGGATGGCAAACTTGAATCTTCTAAGCCCTGTACCTTTCAAAATACTTTCATATCTTCTACCTTCTTAATTAAACATCTGTAAAATTGCTAAGATATAGGTGTCCTTATCTTCATACATTCTGGATGATAAGACAGATGAGCCTCTTTAAAGTTCAGCAGCCTGACAGCACAGCTCAAACTAGAAAAACTAGAGTCTAGTTCTCCATTCCACTAGATTGTGGAACTTAGTTAAGGAATAAATGGCAAGGCAAGGTTTGACCTGCATCTAATACTAGTCTATGGGAAATATTTAAAAGTATTTCCAACTCTATCTCCAGGAGACCATTTCTACAAGAGAAACAAAAACTTGCCACCTGAGGAACAGATGATTTCTGCCCTTCCTGACATCAAGGTGCTGACTCTCACTGATGACCATGAGTTCATGGTCATTGCTTGTGATGGCATCTGGTGAGCACTAGTAGAATATCCTAAATGCCCTTTCTACAACCTTACTTCTGTAAGGCTTGGAGCTACATTAGGATTAGCTCTGAAGCAGGCCTCTTGGCTAGTTAAAATCACCAAGCCTAAGGCAGAGCTGAGAATTTTGTGTGTTGACATCGGTCTGCTTCATTACCAGTGCCTACATGCTTCTCTGCTCTGCTCTGCTCTGCCTTGGTGGGACTAAAGAAGATTCTTTGGTTTTGACCCTAGGAATGTGATGAGCAGCCAAGAGGTTGTAGACTTTATTCAATCAAAGATCAGCCAGCGTGATGAAAATGGGGAGCTTCGGTTATTGTCATCCATTGTGGAAGAGGTGAGTCTAAAATTGGAGAAGAGAGGTTATCTGGTCTATACTAAGACAGACTTTTTTTTTTTTCTTTTCACTTAAGTTGAGACCAGAGGCTAGGAGTACTCTTACCCACAGACACACCAGAAGACCTTGATTAAAAAGTTGCGTCTTTCCTCATTGTCCCTAGCATAGCCTTATGCCTCACAGATTGATGTGACTGTCTGACTTGTGATACCTGCTCCAGGTTCCTTTTTTTCTACCACCATCAGCAAGGGCAAGCCAAGCCCCCTTGTGGCCTCCTAAGTTCCGAGAAAGGTGTTCAAACCCTGTGGCTAAGCTGCCTTGTTCTTTTTGTAGTTGCTGGATCAGTGCCTGGCACCAGACACTTCTGGGGACGGTACAGGGTGTGACAACATGACTTGCATCATCATTTGCTTCAAGCCGAGAAACACAGCAGAGAGCAGCAAGCGGAAACTGCAGGAGGCACTCTCTGCTGAGGGGGCTGAAGAGAACGGTAACAGTGAGAAGAAGGCCAAGAGGGACTAGCAGTCATCCAGGCCCCCGCCCACCTGGACTGTTTTCTGAGCCCTCCGGACCTAAGACTGAGTTTTGTCTTTTTCTTTTAGCCTTAGCAGTGGGTATGAGGTGTGCAGGGGGAGCTGGGTGGCTTTCCTCAGCCCATTCCAAAGAGGGCTCTCCCTCCACATGGCAGCCTGGGAACCTCTGCTGTCCTCTCCAGCCTCCTCCTTACTCCTTTGGGCTCATCGCCGGTCGGTTCTGTGCCTGTGCTCTGTTGTGTTGGAGGGAAGGACTGGTGGTTCTGATTTTTACTCTGTGAACACTTTATTTAAGGACATTCTTTTTTATTGGCGGCGCCATGGCCCCCAGCCGCTTGCACCCGCTCTCTGTTGTACACTTTCAAGCAACACTTTTTCAGACTAAAGGCCAAACAAAAACTAATCGTGCCCGTGGTGTCTTTTTCTTTGCTACCTTGGTCCCAAACCTGACTAGAGGGGGTAGGATCTAGGAGCTGTGTGTGTCTGTGTGGCAGATTGTAGGATGGGGGCCCCACTCCTGAGCAAACTGGTGCCTGGAGGCGGTCCTGCCTGACGTCGTGCGCACCCTCCCCGCCCTGAGTTAGGCATGACTTCCTAGTTCCTACACGGAGGGGGCAGGGCAACCTTCTGGGCTGGGCAGCGATGTCTACGGCCGCACCAATTGGTTGGTTCCCTGCGCATCACAATCACTTCCCGGTCAACTCTGAGCACTCTCGCCGTTGTGCCACCCGCGGACTACGCATCCCGTGCGGCTGTGCGGCGGCGGAAGCGGAAGCAGGTGCGGAGGTACCAGCTGGTCTCTGGAGGGGGGTAGGGGGGCTCCATGAATGGAAGCGGCGGCGGCGGCGGGAGCGGCCTGAGCTGGGCTTCGGGGCCAGGGCCTGGGGTTGCCTAGGGCCGGCAGCGCTGCATGGGGCCAGCCTGCGGATGCTGAGAGCTAGGGGCCGGCGGCCAGGCCGAGCTGAGAGGGGCGGGGCCGGGCGGCCGAGGGCCGGAGGCGCGTCGGGCTGGAGCCGGTCACGATGCCCCGAAGGAAGCAAAGCCACCCGCAGCCGGTGAAATGCGAGGGGGTCAGAGGTCAGGGGTCAGAGTCCTTGAGCGGGGAGTAGTGGGGGTGGGTCAATGGAGTGGGCTCAGGTCAGGGTGGAGGGGGACTCCTGAGGGATGGGGGCGGGTGATCTGGACTCTAGCGTCCTACCCAAGTACTAAGGAAACCCGAGAGGGTCATGAGTATGGAAGGAAAGTGCGATCCACGACGGCTGGCTCCCGGGTGCGGATTATGGGCACGGCTCGGGAGGGAAAATCCACAAACTCCCTCCCCTCTTTAGTGGATACTGAAGATTCTTTCGACGAAGGACCCGGGGCCCTGGTGTTGGAGAGTGATTTGCTACTAGGCCAGGATCTGGAGTTTGAAGAGGAAGAGGAAGAGGAGGAAGGTGACGGCCACAACGACCAGCTCATGGGCTTTGAGAGAGACTCTGAAGGTAGGTTTTGGTTATGTGGCTAATGATTAGTGGCTGCTGGAGACCCCAGCCCTTTGGAAGTCAGTGTCAGCGGCCAAAAACACCACTTCCTGCCACAATCTAGGACCGGCTTGGTTAGGAGCTAGATTTCTTGATTTGCTTACTGGTCCCATCCGCAGCATCACAGCTGAGGTGAATTTGGGTCCTGGTCTAGAGAGGCATAAATATAAGGGTGGTGAATCACGTGGAGCAATTGTTTAAAAGTAAATGCCCTTTTAATAACCTTGTCCCTAGTCCTGTCGCGTGCGTTCCACCTCAAGAGTTTGGAGAAGGGACGTAAGCGTTAGCTACTCAACTTCCTTTCTCTGCAGCAAAAGATCTTTTGTACGAGAGGTTTTAGTTTCTGTTCTTAAGTCTTAGCATCACCCTATCCATTTTTGAAAGTCGTGGAGAACCCATGCAAAAGAATCAGTCCTTTCGGTGGTGTAACCTGTATTATGTTTTATGCCTACTTTTCAAGATGGGTTTTATTTTATGATCAGCCCTACTAAAAAAGCTTTTACAAAAAGAGCTTGAGGCCCTTTGCCTTTGTATTTTTACTTTCTTATCTCAAGAATCTGTTGCTTCACTTCAGTCTGCAGCCCACGGTGAGCCTTGATCTTTTCTATTCAGTGGAACTAGGTATAGGTCAACTCCATCATCGCTAGTTAGGCTCAGAGTCATGTTGAATGTTCTGGAGTCACTGTAGGGGAAAACTTGATCCTTGATTCCTGGGAGGGAACCACAGGGGTTGTGGGAACTATACCAGTGGGTTCATAAATGAGAAATGATGAGTTTGGAACTTGGTCTTGAACCATATATATATATATAATTTTTTTTTTTTTATGTCCCTCTCACCAGGAGACTCTCAGGGGGCCAGACCTGGACTTCCCTATGGGCTGAGTGACGACGAGTCTGGGGGCGGCCGGGCACTAAGTGCTGAGAGTGAAGTTGAGGAGCCGGCCAGGGGGCCAGGGGAGGCCAGGGGTGAGAGGCCAGGCCCAGCCTGCCAGCTGTGTGGGGGGCTGACAGGTGAGGGGCCGTGTTGTGGGGCAGGAGGGCCGGGTGGGGGGGCCCCGCTGCCCCCACGGCTGCTGTACTCATGCCGCCTCTGCGCCTTCGTGTCCCACTACTCGAGCCACCTGAAGCGGCACATGCAGACACACAGCGGGGAGAAGCCGTTCCGCTGTGGCCGCTGCCCCTACGCCTCAGCCCAGCTCGTCAACCTGACACGACATACCCGCACCCATACTGGCGAGAAGCCCTACCGCTGTCCCCACTGCCCCTTTGCCTGCAGCAGCCTGGGCAACCTGAGGCGGCATCAGCGCACCCACACCGGGCCTCCTACTCCTCCCTGCCCGACCTGTGGCTTCCGCTGCTGTGCTCCACGACCAGCCCGGCCTCCCAGTCCCACAGAGCAGGAGGGGGCAGTGCCCCGGCGATCTGAAGGTAAAAGGCAAAGCACCAAACATCCTGGGACATAGGTGGGAAACAGTAGGGCTACTTGGATTAAGGGCCTGTCTCATTGTTTCCACAGATGCTCTGCTTCTTCCAGATTTGAGCCTCCATGTGCCACCAGGTGGTACCAGTTTTCTGCCAGACTGTGGGCAGTTGCAGGGTGAAGGGGAGGGTTTGTGTGGAACTGGATCAGAACCACTGCCAGAATTGCTGTTCCCTTGGACCTGCCGGGGTTGTGGACAAGAACTGGAGGAGGGTGAGGGCAGCCGCCTGGGAGCTGCTATGTGTGAGCGCTGCATGCGAGGAGAGGCTGGAGGGGCTGCCAGTGGGGGACCCCAGGGTCCCAGTGACAAAGGCTTTGCCTGTAGCCTCTGTCCCTTTGCCACTCACTATCCCAACCACTTGGCTCGGCACATGAAGACCCACAGTGGTGAGAAACCCTTCCGCTGTGCCCGCTGTCCCTATGCCTCTGCTCATCTGGATAACCTGAAACGGCACCAGCGTGTCCACACAGGAGAGAAGCCCTACAAATGTCCCCTTTGTCCCTATGCCTGTGGCAACCTGGCCAACCTCAAGCGTCATGGTCGCATCCACTCTGGTGACAAACCTTTTCGGTGTAGCCTTTGCAACTACAGCTGCAACCAGAGCATGAACCTCAAACGTCATATGCTGCGACACACGGGCGAGAAGCCCTTCCGCTGTGCCACCTGCGCCTACACCACAGGTCACTGGGACAACTACAAACGCCACCAGAAGGTGCACGGCCATGGTGGGGCAGGTGGGCCTGGCCTCTCTGCCCCTGAGGGATGGGCCCCACCTCACAGTCCACCCTCTGTTTTGACCACTCGGGGTCCAGCAACCCTGAGTGCCACTGGTAGCAGAGCTCTCCATACAGACTCACCTTGAACTAGATTTTTACCCCAGGGCCCTATGAATTACTCCTGTGTTTTATACAAATGGACTAGAGACCACCTTCCCTTTCCTCCCCCGCTGGCCAGGGGTTCCACACAGACTAACCTAGGCATTATATGGATCAGCCCAAATCCCATGGGCAGAGCCCATATGGACCAGGGGACCTGTCTTGGCTCATATACTTAATGAGCTCCATGACCAGGACCTTGGATTCACTGCCACAGCTCCCAGGGGCTGTGGATGAACTAGCTGGGGGATTGCCCAGCCTTCCACCTGTTTTAACTTATTTCAGTGCTTTATAATAAAGGAAACACTAACAAAGCCATGTCTATGCTGAATTGGCAATGGCAAACATCAGGCCTTACCCTTAGTATAGCAGCCCATGCTATCAAGGGGGGCAGCAAGGGCAGTGAGAGGGAACCAGAGGTAGGCATCAGTCAAGCTGAGTTTAATGATGGGGAGCTGGTCAGACCATTCACAGACCTCTGCCCTTCCCTTTGCCCATGGCCTGGCCCAAAGAAGCCTGCAGAAGCAGCCCAGGAGGAACTGTGGTTCCTCCCCAAGGCAGGTAGCCATGGTCTCTTAGACTTTGTGCAAAATGCTAAATGCTAATTTGGCATCAAGGGCCAACTCTGAAAAAGAGACAGTGATGCTTTGTGTAGCCAGCCCAGAGGGGAAGGGAAGGTAGGTTAAGAGGCCCCTAGCCAAGAGGAAAAAAAGGGGAAGTAGGAAGGGAGAAGGAAAAGACTTCCTCCTAGCTTGGGAGCACAGGCATGGGGCAAGTTTGTGTGAATTTTCTCTGGAATAGAGGGCAGATATCCAAGCAGTTGAGATTACAGATCCTCATCTCCAATGCCCTCGAAGGCGAAATTGCCGTGGACATCACTGGCACTGGCATCTGTGCCGGGACTGCCAATTCCCCGCAAGCTCACAGCACTCAGCTTACTCTGTAATAGAGGTGGGGTGGGGTCAGAGGGCTCCAGCTTATTAGGTCCCTACAGACACCATCCTCACCAACCCTGTAACTCACTGAGAGTTTGACCACGGATTCCCGGTTGGCATCTGGTGACTCCTGGGGAAAAGGGGCAGAGAGGTCAGTCAGACTCAGGAGAGGGAAGGCAAGGCTGGGAGCCAAGGCACTGACTAGGGGGTGATACTTACAAGCAATGGTGGGGACTTCACTGCTTGCTGGCTGTCTGAACGTCTCAAGGCACCCCCCACCCGCCGACGCAGCATCTGAGGACAGACCCAAAGTGCTGATAAAGGCAAGAATATTCCCTTCAGAATCCCAATCACTTCTCAAGAGGAGTCTTACCCCTAGGACAAAACACCAGCTCTCAGCTGCTTCGGTTCTACTTGTTGCTTACCTTCCTGATATTGCCCCCAGATTTCTTCACCATCAGCTCATCCACCATGGACTGCAAACAGATGCTCATCATGATAGCCTGAGGGTAAGAAGAGAGCTCAGCCTGATTAGAGATGTCATCCCTAGTCTGGTCTAAGACCTGGATTCCCACTCACATGAAGTCCTGGAAGCCCTAGACTTGGGGACCTAAAGGAGTTCTGAGGGTAGGCTCACACCTGGGGGCTGGTGATGGTGACCCATTGTAGCCGGTCCTTGCTCATGAGGTATTCAAAAGCCAGTTCCAAGCGTACCTCACCCCGGCCCCTGCTTGGACTGCTCGTGCCTCCACTGGGCAATGGCACCTGGAAGAGGAATGGGGCTTAGGTGGAATTCATTTTGGACAAGATATGGACCTCTGCAGCCTCATCCCGAAGCTCACGGCTTGCCAGGCCCCCATCTTACAATGCCCACTTCATTCCAACTCACAGAAGAAAGCCAGGTGTGGTACTAATCCCATTCCTTGAAAAGCTGAGGCAGGAGGATCTCTAGTTCAAGAATAGCTGGACTGCAGAGATCCATGTCAGCACTGAGGACATAGCTAAAAGTTGTTTCAAAAACCAAACCACCCGAGTGCCGTGATGTGTGCCTTTAATCCCAGCTCTCGGGGCAGAGGCAGTTGGATCTTTTTAAGATTGAGGCCAGCCTGGTCTACATAGCAAATTCTAAGCCAGCTGGGGCTACAGGGAGACCCTGTCTCCAAAACAACAAAGACCAAAAAAACTCACAGAGGAAGTGACCCGCCAGCATCGCATTCGAGTAACCCGGAAGGAGCCTTCCCGGAGTTGCTGACCAGGCAGGCGCAGCTGTAGACTTAGCTCACTGTTGCCTGCACTGACCACCACAGGACAGTCCTTCTCTGGGAAGTCAGCCACACAGGCATCGAAGCGAAGGTAGCCATAATGCCGCAGAGTTTGGGCCAGCCGCAGGAACTGAGAAATGATTGAGTGTGGTGGGTTAGAAAAGTAGGGCAGCCTCAGAGCTAGGAACCGTTTGCAGGGAGATGGCAAGGCAAAAACTTCACCTCCTTTTTGGAGACTTTCTCTTGCAGAGATTTGAGCTGTCGGTGTTGCTCTTTGGTGACCAGGATCCACCCACGCTCAATATCTGACACGGTCTACAGTAGACACAATGAGTGGGAAGTAGGGGCTTCCAGTTAGTTCCAAGAGAGTGACCACATGAGCTCTGTCCAGCCTGACCACACTTGAGAGCCCTTTGCAGTGAGATACCTTATCAGCTTATGGAGCAAAAGTTCTGCCAGGAGCTCTAACAATATTCTAGGAACTTCCCCATGAACTGGAACCAATAAATACATGGAAGTTCTCTTGGGAGAATGGAGCACCAGAGTCATTTTCAGGGAAAGGGTTCTGAGGCAGCGCCAAGCTCACCTGAGCGTAAAGCAGGTTCAGGCCAACCCGGTTCTCCATGACATCATCGTCATAGGCAGAGTCCCAATAACTGTGGGGCCAAAGGGTAGAAAGAGGTAATGGGACTAAGCTTGGGCAAGGCAAAGACAGAATGGAAAAGGAGCCAAACAGGAGTAATCTGCAACTACTGGGGACTAATTAATAGTGGTATAGTAGGAGATTGTGATGCATGGTTAAAATATCCAGTCTTGCTCCCTTGGCCAGACTAAGCTGCCTCAATACGTGGCCCAACAATCTAACCCAGTACCCTCTCCCACTTTCAGGCCCAGCCCTGACCTCTTCCTGAGAACAATCTTATACTCTTGACTCCGAAGACTGGTAACAGATACATAAGGCAGTTCAAACTCTTGCAACTTCCGTACAACTGTGGATTGAAAATGGGAAGAAAAAAAAAAGTGATGAGACTTAAGAGGAAGGGAAACCAATGAAGAGTTTGGAGGAAATGTGCCATCCTGGCAGGAGTCAGCTAGACAGAACTCACTGCTAGAAACACAAGCAATAAAGTCCAGAGAAACTCACAAGAAAAGGCTCCATCCTCTTTTTCTCGAACAAGGAAGAGACTAAAATATCCAATCAAGTCATCTGGAAGATCCAGCTTTGTAGCCACAGCCTGGAGAGAGGAAGGAAGTACAGCTCATCCAACTGGCTGGTCCTGGTGTGGGCCCTAGTGTGCACTAGCAGAGGGGCTATGCTGAACAAACACCTTACCTCCAGGACATCCTCAGTCTGATCTGAAGTTAGCACATTGACTAGAACTTTCTGTCCATTACTGAGCAGAACTTCCAAGGAGACCTCCTCTGTGGGGACCTGCTGTGTCTCCTGTATGAACAGATAATTTGGATGGGAAGCACTGCCTTGTTAATATCTGCCTATGGTCTAGCTCTAAGCCACTCCAACTTTCTAGGTCCCTCTGGTGTCCTCTAGGTCCCTCTGTATTCTTAAATACAGGCTGGGCTTCTCTTGAATTCAGTGGTACAGCAGAAGCTCCATTCCATTAATAAAAGGTGCCAGGTAACTATAACCGTGTAATTTACGACATGATTTTCTACCAGGCCCTTAAATCTGGGTTCTGTCTAACGCCTTACCTGTTGGGCCCGACGTAGGAAACTATTGAAGGTCTCACTGCTCCCAAGCAATGGGTCTTGCCGAACTGTGGGGACAAAAGAATGATATTCTAGTAACTTAGAACTCATTCTTGGCTTCCCCAAGTCCTCTTTTAGTAGGTATCCCCCCAACCCCATTTCCTGGGCTAATGGTGGCCTGCCACATTCCCCAGCTGGCCTCACCTCACACACTGTTTGCATAAATTCTTCACCTGCCCCACCCTTGGCTGCCATCTAGTTGAGTCCAGTCTACAGAACTAGGGAAATAACAATGATGTTAATCTAAAGCACATCAGATACAAAGTTCTCCCCACCAATCTAAATTACTTTTAAAACTAGTGTTATACTAGTATTTCTCATAGAAGTTAGTGCCCAAGTTGCTTTACTAGTATAGAATTAAAAATCCTTGACAACTATTCGCTTTGCCAATTAAACAGACAAGAGGTTTCCTAGATCTAGTCATTAATATAGGACGTTCTACAGAGCCACCTGTTTTAATCTCCCCATGGTCCTCAAAATAGCCTAGAGTTTCTCCAACTTACCAGCTTGCATGTACTTTTCTAACTGCTCTCTCCTCTGCTCTACCTCTGCAGGTGTCAGAGAGAAAAGCTTCTTTGGGGGGAATGCAGGAAGCACATTGGCCCCATACTCCTTCCGAAGCTATGTGAAAAAAGAGATACAGCCCTTCTTATAAACACAGAATATGAGAGGAGACTATTGAGCTCACCATGCCCCCTTGGGTTCCCCCAGCTATCCTTGTTATTTGGGAAACAATGATTTTGACAGTGTCAGGATATCAGGGAAGTTGTCTTAGGTATAAATTCTACAAGCCCCTCTATACCATAGTGTTTCCGTGGGGGTCTGGGAGCCCCTTGATTTCATCTAGCAAGACTGTTCAGTGAACTCTCCCCGGAAGGAGAGTACGTTTTTAGGAAACATTTATGTGCATAAATAGTAAAGCCATATAAAATGTTCACAAAGTGTCTTAAGACTTGAAGGGACTTCAAAAACCAAGGAATCTATTTCATTTGTAGAAATGGAGGCCTAAAGAAATTAGGTAACTTGCTCAGGACTGACAACTAATTGTCAGTATGACCAGGGTTCTCTACCAGGTTAAATACAGAGCTCACTATCTGGTGAGGAAGGCAAAGAAACACTACATCACAGATACACGGCCACACACTGACATGAGCCAGGGAACACAAGGAATTAAGTGAATGGTTTGTATAATCAGGGAAAGGTTTCCTAAGTTGTAGTTTAACAAAAGGAATGCGCTTTGGCCAACAGAGAGGGTTTTCTTTTTTCATGCAGGGGCAAAGAATGAAAAAGCAGAAAAGGCATGAGGATATGAGTACAGGGAGGCGCAGGTATTATAGTGAAAGACAAGCTGCGTAGGGAGTTCCCGGGAAATGTCTGGATAATATGGCACTACACCTTCCACGACAGCACTGATTACAGGGGAATGCGATAAGAGGGGATTAATGCTCCAGGGTAGGAACGTGCCAGAAGCAGCCTCTAGACAGGGATCCTAGTCCCACCTGCTCATGCAGCCCCAGGAGCTGACTGTAGCGCACCCGACAGTGCAGGACTCCATTCACGTGAATGTTATAGGCCTGAGGACACAAAAGCAGGCAAACATTTCAGGGTCGAAGTCCGAGACACTTCTTGTTCCCAGAAACCTGGCCGGAAGTTGTCTGACAGCTCCGTCTTCTGCACAACGTGCCGAGATTTCTCGGGAGTTAGCCTGTTTTCCCAGCGCCAGGTTCCAAACAGAAGGCCCGGTCCAAGGGAAACCCTGGCGCTGGTGATGCAGCCTCTCTCCCGATGACAGTGATGCCCACCGCCCACCACCAGAGCAGCCGCGGCCTAGCCGGGAAAATCAACCGCTCAAAGAATCTATTGGAGCTGAGGCGACTTCTGTACAAAGCTAAGCCAGAAGATGCGCTTCCAGCGAGGTTCCAAGGCTGGAGGCCGGGCCCGAACAGCAAGGCCGTTCCAAGAGCTCCGACCCGTTATCCCCGCCCCAGCCCAGACCTAGCTGCTCCTCACCACGTAGGCGGAGCCGCCGCTGTCCCCGCTTCGGGACTCGGTTTCAGGAATGGAAAAGTGCATGTTCCCTAAGGCAGGGCTCCAGACTAGGAGGGCCGCAGAGGCTCTGCACGTTCGCCTCCACCGCTCAGCGCGTTCCTGCAGCCCCGCTCGCCATTTTGGGGGCCTGAGATCCGAGGTGGGACGGCGGTAGGACGTCGGCTCAGGAAACAGCAACTCTGGCATGATGGGACTTGTAGTCTAAAGGGCATGAGGCTGTCCTAATTGGGAACACAGAGACGGTCCTTATTGCGACCCGTAGTCCCGTTGAGATCCGGTGCACGCCGGAAATTGTAGGCGGCAGGCGGCGAGGCGCGGGCGTCCGCAGCGGAGCCTCCAGTCCAGGTGGCGCTGTAGTTCCCTGTGACCTCTGCGGGCGGAGCCTAGGACCGAGAGCCATGGCTGCGGTGGCTGTGGCTGTTCGCGAAGGTGAGTGAAGGGCCGGGCGTAACTATTGGTACACGAGCTGACGAGTGCCAGATGGCTGGTGATGGGCCTGGAGCCTCTTCAGGCTCTGCCGTTCTGTTCCGGTGCATTGCGGGACTCTGGTTACAGTCTAGGGCGCAAACCGCGCTGCATGCGGGCCGGCTCCCAGATGGATGATTTACTTCTCTGTCTTTCCCCGCCTGTCCTTTGATCCTGCCGCGCTGTGCGTCCCCACGCGGATTCTGGGGCGCCTCATGCCTGGTGGCCTAGCTGTGGTCATGCCAACCCAGAAGTCAGATGCGCCCAGTACGAGTTTCCCCAAACCCTCCCAGAGCCTCTCTAGTTCACTCTGTACCCTGTTTTCTGATGCAGAATCAGGATCCGGGATGAAGGCAGAACTTTCTCCTCGGCCAGGGGTAAGTGAGGGAGACCGTCCAAGTTGCTGTCAAGCCCTTCACAGAAAGCTGTCAGCTCTTTCGGACGCATCTCCCATCCCTTTTCAGTTCATTTCTCTGTAAAACCAGATTGTACAGAGCCTAACAGTATGTGGCTTTGGCTCTGAAGAATTTTCTCTTACTGTGGGATAGTAGGCTTATAACTGGCAGCTTGTGGAAGTTACAGGATTCGGGGCTTAACCTTGTGGGAATCTCGTAAAGCACCGGACAGTGTTGATTCACCTTGAAGAGCAGTTCCTATGTCTGTGTCTCAGGCAGCGGGGAGGGAGATGACCCAAGAAGAAAAGCTGCAGCTTCGGAAGGAAAAGAAACAGCAGAAGAAGAAACGGAAGGAGGAAAAAGGGGCAGAACCAGAAATTGGCTCTGCTGTATCTACAGCCCAAGGTCAAGGTGCTAGGGCTTTTTTAAAGGTGCTGGTAGAGAGATGTGGTGGGGGGGGTGACAGAACAAAGTTAGTTTAAGCAAGTGAAAAGTGATCTTCCTTCTACTTCTGGTAGGCCCAACCAGAGAATTGCCAGAACCTGGCAGCCAGGTGGGGGGCACTGCTGGGGAGAAAGTTCTAGCCGGCCGGAGTAAGGCAGAACTTCGAGCTGAGCGGAGAGCCAAGCAGGAGGCAGAGCGGGCCCTGAAACAAGCAAGAAAAGGAGAACAAAGAGGGCCACCCCCTCAGGCCTGCCCTAGCACAACAGGAGAAACTTCTTCAGGTATCTTACCGTTTTTAGCTTGGGAGCCAGAGTTCAAAATTTTTCTGTCAACTTCATCCTGACCTCTATTTTTGACTCCCCATGTTCCCTTAACTTCCTATTTTCTACATCTTCTCTTTTTTTTTGAGACAGTATCTTACTTTGTACCTCTGGTTAACCTGAACTCACTATGTGGAACAGGCTGGTCTCAAACTCACAGAGATCTGCCTGCCTCTGCCTCCCTAGTTCTAGGATTAAAGGTGTGCACCACCACACCTGGCACTCAACTTTCTATTTTCATGAATCTTCCTATGCCCTAAGAACATATTACTCATTTCAAGACCTACAGTATCTGGAAAACATAACCATTAACTTTCAGGAGCGAAATGTCCCCCTGAGCACACCCAGGTTGATGACCCTGCACTTCTGAGGAGGCTTGTTAAAAAACCAGAGCGACAACAGGTAGGAAGTGAGTTTCATACTTGGTCACAAAAAGCATTAAGAGATGGATGAGAGGGAAGAGAATTGTTCTGAGCACAGTGAGGCTCTGAAAAAGCATGAGTATTTGGGTCAAAGAAGTGAGTTCACTTTCTTTCTAGCTTTGTCCCATAAATTTTGAACTGAGTTACTGGTCCTATTCCTTTGTCCAGGTTCCTACACGAAAGGATTATGGGTCCAAAGTCAGTCTTTTCTCCCACCTACCCCAGTACAGCAGACAAAATTCTTTGACCCAGTACATGAGGTAGGATCTTAAGAAAATTGTCATAACTTTTAAGTCTAAAGAATTGTCATAACTTTTAAGATTGAAGAACTTGGTGTTAAATGTAACTAGAAATTTGAATGATTAGGAAAAAATATGAACTCAAAGCAAACCTTCAGGAAATGGGAAATGGGGGAAGGAAGTTCCTTTTCATCAGGGGCAGGGGGTAAGAGGTACTCAAGTTCCCTTGCAAAGTATGTGACACAGCCATCCCATCAGCATCCCATCCTCTGTGATCCACCCAGCCATGGTGCGACTCGGCCTGCAGTACTCCCAGGGCCTGGTCAGTGGCTCCAATGCCCGGTGTATTGCCCTGCTTCATGCCTTGCAGCAGGTATGCTCTGTTCTGTTCTCTGTGACTCCACCCCACTCCCCAACTGTACACCACCAGCTCTTCTCCCAAGATAATCTCTGAGGTAAAGAGTCAGTGACTCTCACTCCAAATACTTTCTTCTACCCCATTTTAGAGACCTTCATGAGGGAGCACTTTGTTGATCAACTTGTGTGTTCTGTAGGTAATTCGGGATTATACAACACCTCCCAGTGAGGAACTCTCAAGGGATCTTGTGAATAAGCTGAAACCCTATATTAGGTAAGGACAGCCATGCAAATCCGTTCCTACCATACTGTCTTTTCTTGGTACTCGTTCTCTTGCCTGTCTCTTTCAGCTTTCTCTTCTGTTTTCTTTTTAAAGAAATTTTTTTTAATGTGTCAGCCTTGTAAGTTGTAACCAGTTGCCCAGATGTAAGGTATTGTTGTTGCAGTTTCCTGACTCAATGCCGCCCCCTGTCAGCAAGCATGTACAATGCCATCAAATTCCTTAACAAGGAAATCACCAGCATGAGCAGCGCCAAGCGGGAAGAGGAGGTAATGGATGAATCTGGGAATGGGAAAGCATGTACCTGTGGTTAGGGTAAAGCAACACGTTCAGAACTCCCAGAAACACCCAACACATGCCACACTGCCCGAGTCACTGGTTAAAGAAATGTTTAAGTGCTTTTACTGCTGTCTTTGGCACCCCTGCAGGCCTATCATTGTATACCTATTCAAGCATGTGACATGATAACCAGAGGGAGAAATGTATCTGTTTCCTGTTCTCTAAACATTTAGGCCAAGTCTGAACTTGTAGAAGCCATTGATCGGTATGTGCAAGAGAAGATTGTGCTTGCAGCTCAGGCAATTTCACGCTTTGCCTATAAGAAGATCAGTGATGGAGATGTGATCCTAGTATATGGATGGTATGGTCAACATCTGTGACTCAGAACATAGGAGGAGTGATCAGAAGAAAGGTGGACGCCTTGCCTTTCAGGCAGGCTACTACCAATTAGTAACTTTTATAACTGAGTCTTGTCTCCATCCACATCTAGCTCATCTCTGGTATCACGAATTCTCCAGGAGGCTTGGATCGAGGGCAGGCGGTTTCGGGTGGTTGTGGTGGACAGCCGGCCCCGGCTTGAGGGAAGGAACATGCTCCGTTCTCTTGTCCATGCTGGGGTCCCTACCTCCTATCTGCTGATTCCTGCAGCCTCCTATGTGCTCCCAGAGGTGAAGGTTCCCAGAGGAAAGCAATTCCAGACATGAAGGGACTGAATGTAGTAATACAGGCATACTTTTACCTTTTATTCTTTTTTTTTTTTTTTTTTTTTTTTTTTTTTGCATTTATATTTATTTATTGCTGGGGAGGTCTCTGCCATGCCAGGCATGTGAAAGTCATTCTTTGGGAGTTGGTTCTCTTCCATTTGGGTCCTGGGGATAGAATTCAGTTCATCAGGCTTGGCAGCAAATGCCTTTACCCACTGACTGAGGTACCTTACTAGCCCTTACCTTTTATTCGTACTTGATTTTTTTTTTTTTTTTTTTTTTATGAGACAGGCCCTGGCTGGCCACAGACTCAGAGAGCTGCCTCCCAGCTTCCCAACTCCGGGGATTAAAGGTGTGCACCACCATGCTTGGCACCTTTTATTTAAAAACAAAACAAAACAAAAAACACCTACAACATGTTATGGCACAGTTTAGCTACTGTAAGAGTATATTAAATATTTAAAAGTAGCAGCCAACAAAAAGGAACAGGCCAGTTTTCCTGTTCTGGGAAGATATGAGATGGTTAGGTATTTTCTAAGAAGAGTGGCCAGCAGTGTTTGTTGTTAATATTGTTGTCCTGGGAAGAAGTGGGGGACTTTATTATACATTTACATAACATGACATATTTTTCTTTCCTTTCTACATTATCTAAAACAAACAGGTTTCCAAGGTGCTATTGGGAGCTTATGCGCTCCTGGCCAATGGATCTGTGATGTCACGGGTAGGGACAGCACAGCTGGCCCTGGTGGCTCGAGTCCATAATGTTCCAGTACTAGTCTGCTGTGAAACATACAAGTTCTGTGAACGTGTGCAGACTGATGCCTTTGTTTCTAATGAGCTAGGTAAGCAGGGCAGAAGAGAGGCTTTCAGGGACCTGAGAAGCTTTGAGAGGGAGAAGGGAAAGTAAACCATGATTTGCTTTCTAAAAGGATATAATGGGCCCACCTCCCATTACAGATGACCCTGATGATCTGCAGTGTGAGCGGGGAGAACGTGTGGCACTGGCTGACTGGCAAAAATATCCATCGCTCCGGTTGTTGAATTTGGTCTATGATGTGACTCCCCCAGAGCTTGTGGATCTGGTGATCACAGAGTTGGGCATGATCCCTTGCAGTTCTGTGCCTGTTGTCCTGCGAGTCAAGAGCAGTGACCAGTGAAGGGGAACAAATGTCAATAAATAACATATGCCCTACCCTCACACCTCTACTGCCTTTGTATCTCTTTGAGCATCTCCCCCATTTAGGCTAGGGGTCTACACTTCCCAAACCCTCTCATCACCTGCTGTGAACCTTAGACCTTTATAGAAACCCTTCTCAGGATTAGCTGCAGGCCAGTGCTTTGGAGCCAAGATGAAAGTTTGTGTAGGCATCAAAATCTAGCCTTAGACCAGGCACAATTGTACACGCCTTTAATCCTAGCATTTCAGGGGCAGAGGTAGACAGATCTTTGTAAGTTCAAGACTAGCCTGACCTACATAGCAAGTTCTAGGCTGGCCAGGGTTTTATGAGACCCTGTCTCAAAAACCAAAATAAAAACCTATTCATATCTTCAGTCTTTAATATCTCAAGTAATGCCTGAGCTAGGCATAATAAGGGATATAAAGACAAGGGTCATAGCTAGTTGTGGTGGTACCATGCCTGTAGTCCTAGTGCTGAGGCAGAAACAGGAAAATCAAGAGTTGGGGGCCAGACTGGGCTACATAGGACTCTGTCTCAAAAAACCAAGGGCTAGAGATTATAGCTCGGTAATAGAATACATGCTTATCTTTAATAAGGCCCTGGGTTCATCTCCAATACCACTAGTAGTAGCCTTCGTAATAAGTTTGCATTTACTTAGTACTTACCGTATGTCAGAAACAGTTCTACCCTTTTCTACCGTTAGAAAGATTAATATATCTTTATGAAGTACATGAGATTTTACAGATGAGAAAAGGGAGTCACAGAGAAGTTACTTAGTCAAAGCAACCAACTAAGGCATAAAGAGGTCAAGTTATTTGCTCAGCATGACACAGTTAATTAGAAGTTAAATCAGGATGGTTTTTTAAGGTAGGGGCTCATGAAGCCTACTGTAGTTGAGGATGACCTTGACCAGGGGTGATAGCACACACCTTTAATCCCAGCAGGTAGATCTCTGAGTTTGAGGCCAGCCTGGTCTACATAATGAGTTCTAGGCCAGCCAGGCCTAAATAGTGTGGCTTAGATGACTTGGGACTTCTGATCCCCTTGCCTGTTCCAAATACTGGTATTACAGATGTGCATGAACATGTCTGTTTACTAGGGACTGAATGGAAGGTTTCATGCATGGCAAGTAAGCATTCTACTAATGCAGCCATATTCCCAGACCCCCCCCCCACCTT